TCGTCACTGGCAGACCTGGTAGGTGGGGAGACGGGGAGAGGGTTATCGGGGTGCCGTGGAGCAGACTCTGCAAGTCTTAGGTGCCCCGCTTTAATACACTGATAGAAGGAACGCACTCGTGCTGTGTCCAAATTAAACCCCCGCAGAGACCCGCAGGGCGAGCCCCGGAGTTGAGCCCTTAGGGAGGGGCTTATGGGCGCGTTAGGAGGGATTTGTGGGGGGGCTGGTGGCGCGTTCACAAAATGGGAGATGATGGGGAAGAGGCTACAGGAGGAGAGCTGGTGGGCATGGAGGAACCGGAGAGGAGTAAGGGAGGGCACAGGAACAGAGAGGCATGTCTCACCCTGACGGACTTCTAACCTAAGCTGAGCCCCGGCCATAGGGAGCTGAGTTCGTTCCATGCCCCGGCATGTTCCGGAGCAGCCCTGACATGTTCTTAGTTGAGGTAGCATGTTAAATGTATGGCCACGTGACTCAGATGGTCATAAAAGATTCACATACACACAAAAAAGAATTTCCTGGGCGGGGGCTGTATATGTGGCTTGGAAAACATGGTTACCCTAAGTCTGAGATACCTGAGACAGAAAGACATGGGGAGCGACGAGGCCTTTCGGGGAAGGGAGGTTGCGTCTGGAATAGGGTGACAGACTGCACTGCACCTTGACGGAGTGAGCACCTGTCTCGAGACACCCCGGGGTCTAGCGGGGCGCAGCGGGAGGAGCCCGCGGACACAGGCAGGACCTGAGATGCTGGTAAGGCCCGACGTCTCAGCAGGGCTGGCCGTGGTACAGGGCGGGCAGAGGCCACTGAGGAGAGCCAGAGGTTCCTGGAGGGCATGTGGGAGGACAGAGCCTGCCTGGAAGGGACCGGGCCATGTGGGAGGACACAGAAACTGCAGAAGAACCAGCCATGAAGGTGGGGAGGCCGACACCAGATCCTGCAAGGAAAGCGTGGCGGCTTCTCGGTGCAGTTCCTCATCTCAGAAGCGAGGAGGATGAGAACGAGAGTTCCGAGATGCCGGGAAAATGGGGGGAACACACAAAAGAGGCTGACACCTTATGGCTTTTTTTTTAGTTTTTTTTTTTCATTGAAAATGTCAGTTTAGAAAACACGAATTCACACTTTATTCAGACAACACTGAGAGGGGGAAAAGGGAGGAGGAGGTGAAGAGAGGGAGATCCTGCTCCCAAGGACTTGGGGAACACGGGGGCCGGGGTACCTGATCTACCATACATTCAGAGGGTAAGGGGCAGACTATCTACACCCAGGATCGGAGCAGGGAAGGAGGTTCTTGTTATGGAGGAGAGAGGCAGGCCAGAGGAAGAACGGTCCCCATCTCAAGACGGTCTCACAAGACAGGAGTATACAGCATCTAGCTACCGGGGAGGGACAGAGAGGAGAGGGATTCTAGGATCTAGCAGATCCGCTTTTCTTCTGAAACACGGCTAAGAGTGATCCCAAGGTACTGGCTGGGATCTCCTGCCAAAACACAAACGTCCTCGGAGAATCGGGATGTGGGGGAAACGGTGGTGTTGGTGTCTCCTTCAGAGATACCACAGTACCGATGGTTGGGGCTCCCTCACGCACACACACACATACACACGGGAACTGGAGTTTGGCAATGTCGGTCCCTGTGGGGAGCTGCAGGTCCCTGACCTACGACCTGGACTGTCTGGACACGGGCACTCGTCAGCTGGCATTGGCAGGCTGACCAAGTGTGGAGGGCAGCAAGCAGCACTCTGAGCACCACCCGGAGCTGGGGGTCTGGGTTATGCTATGGGCAGGACTCCCTAAAAGGTTTCCTAGACACAGGAAGCCCTTGGCCCTCCACGGAGTCCAGAGTCCACAGTGCGTGTGCTTCTCTAGGTGCTAAAACGAGCCGCCCAGGAGGGATCTGGCAACGGCGGGCTGTCTGTAGGAGGGTGTCGGAGCCCACGTCAGGAGAGGAGAGCTTTCTGTGGTGAGAAAGAGCTAGCAAGTGTCAGGCTGTGGGGGACCCTGACAACCCAGCTGTCCGAGAAGGGGAGAAAGGGCCCCTAGGGACTGTCAGGTTCCACTGGGTCCTGGAGGGTGCAATGGAAGAGGGGCCTCTGCTGCCCCTGGCCTCCCGGGGAGGGGAGGGGAGCTGTGGGTCAGTATCGACTCTCATCAGAGCGGGGCAGGGAGCTATGGAAGGATGGATGGATGGGAGGGCGGGAGAGGGAAAATGGGGGAGAGAGAAAAAGAGAAGTCAGAGGTGAAGAGACAGCCAGGGAGAGGATAAAGGAGATGCCCACTCCCTGCCCACTCCCTGCCTGCTGGACGCTCCTGGCCACAGGCGCTGAAGAGGAGCCAGTGGCACCCAGCTGCCAGACAGTGGCCCTTCCCCATGAGGGTCAGGCTAGGACTGCCCGATCTGAGAAGGGTGAGGCTCCCCATCGGGCGCTCGGCGTCCTCCCACCCTTCCCCTAACTCACGCTAGCACCGGGCCCCAGCTTCTACTCCTTCCCTGTCACCTCCTCGCAGAGCACTCCCGCATTCTTGCAAGGACCCCAGGCCACCCATCTTGTCTGATGTCTCTGGTGGATTCAAGTTGCCCTCTGCTGTTTCCTTCTTGTCTGTTTTAATTTGCCACAGGCTACGTGCCCCCACTGGAGGGGGACCCGTTCCCTTCTCCTCTCCTGCTGGGATCCTGGGTGAGCATACACGCGCACCCAGCAAGGTTTGCAAGCCACCCTGTGGGACCCACCCTCTGCCACTGCTAACACCTTCCTTGGCAGCCGAGGCTCCCTGGCCACTACCCCCCACCCCATTACCTGGTGCGGCGGCGCTGGGCTGGGCTGCCCCCGGGGTCGGTAGCCAGCAGGAGGCGGGCGGTGGGGTGTGGGGGGCACAGGCGCAGGGAACGCAGCAGCTCCTGCTCTGGCACGAAGGGGCGGAGGGGACCCCGTTCTGGCGAGTTCCCCAGGCTGCTGGAGCGGGGTGGTGGGTGGGCTGGAGGCGTGGCCCGACGAGGGGCCCTGTTAAGAGGCCATGGAGGCTCCACAGCTACCTTCAGAACTGGGAAAGAGAGTGAAGAGCAAGTGAGAGAAAAGGCAGCCATGAGGGAACCAGCAGTTGGCATAATGGCTATGTCGCTGGACTCCCACGTAGACAGACGACCATGGTTCGAGCCCCAGACCCGGTGGCTTAAACTCATGCCGGGCACATGTGCATGCGTGCCAAGATCCTTAGAGGACAATGGAGGAGAAGGGATTGCGGTGTGACCATCCCCCCTGGGGGGTGATTTCTCACTTTCTGTCTGTCTCTGTCTGTCTGGCGAGCGCATGCGCCCTACAGCAAAAGGCAGCCATGACAGTACAGATCGGAGCCCCAGACAAGAAGGCCGAGGGCCCCCACCCTGCCCCCGAGCACCCTCTCCCTCAGGCTCATGCTCCCAAGCAGCCTCTCCCCTCTCCCTCAGGCTCACACTCCTGTGCCCAGGCCCAGACACCCTCCCCAGCCCCTCTTACACTCTCGGTCGCTAGAGGAGTATGGCTTAATGTCGCCCTCTGCTCTCTTGGGCGGCAGCTTCCGTGCTGGAGCTGGTGGTGGAGGGGACACAGGCGAGGTGAGCGTAGGGGACACACTTTGCACCCCTCCTCCCAGCCCGTACTCCCACAACCCCAAACCTCTGCGCCCTGACAGTTCCTCCTGGAACTCCATGGCTGAAGCAGCGCGGTGGCCATGCCAGCACACCAGAAGGGACTTTGGGGGAATGCTGGAACACTTTGGAGGAGAGCCAGAAGGAGTGGGCCAAACACAGAGTTAGGGGTCCAGGGGAGACTCCGGGGCCTGGGAGATGCAGGAGAGGGTGGCCACGGGGAGGCGAGCTCTTACTGTCAGCGGGTGCTGTCAGGCCCCCCTGGGGTTCTGGGGCAGTGGAATGGTCACGGCCGGGCCAGCGAGGACCCTGAGTTTCTCTAGATGAGACGGACAAAGCCCTTGGTTAACATGGAATTGCTCTGGAGAGGTGGGGGGACCTCTCCTTCCTGCACAGATGGGAGGAGACTGGAGTTTTATTAGGGACAAAGCAAAGAGGAGGAAGAAATGTGGGCATCTGAAAAGGAGCTGTCAGTCAGTGGGAGGCTGGCATCCCATTCAACTGGGCCTGCCCCTCGGTTCTCCTCCTGCTCCCTCCCTCCCTCTCAGGAGGGTCTCCACCACGTGTGGCGACTGAGAGACCGCTCAGCGAGTTCACTTCAGCTTTGACCTCGGGGTGGCCTGGTGGCTCATGGCCCAGCAGCCCCTACCCCGTCCCTGTCCTCCTCGGTGCTCATGCCCTCTCCCAGCCTGCACGTCAGGCCCTAGGTGGGACAAGCCCGGAAACCGAAGGAGCCATGACGCAAAGCGCCTCCCAGCACCTGCAGGCGGCAGACACTGGTGACCGTACGACTGCTGTGGTTACTCGCCTCCTGCTGGGAAGGTGGGAGCTGGCCACGAAGCCGGTGCCCGAAGGGGCAGCAGGCCGTGCTGCTCTGCCTGGAGTGCCAGGGAAGAGGGAGGGCGAGCCCAGCCTGCAGGGGCCTGTGCGTGTGTCTGAGCGTGGGACGAGCATGAGCAGCATCCGAGGACCTCCTCGGTTTGCTCTCTCCACATCAGTTTGTTATTTGGTTGGAGATGAGAACATTCTGAACGTTATCTTCTAAACCTAACATTTCAACTGTAGACCAGGGACCAGCAGTTAGTGTAATGGCGATGTCTCTGGACTCCCATATAGTTGACTGCAGTTCGAGTCCCGGACCCAATGGCTTAAACTCACGTCAGGTGCGTGTGCGTGCGTGCCCAAGATCCTGAGAGGAGAGCGGAGGAGAAGGGATTGCAGTGTGGCCATCCCCCCTGGGGGTGATTTCTTGCTTTCTATCTCTCTGTCTCTTTCGCTCTGTCTTTCTGGCAAGAGGCACATACACGCCCTATAACAAAAAACTCTAAAAAAAAAAAAAACTGTCGCCCTTTCATGTCACCATTCTACTCTGGAAATGGAAGGGCCATCTGCATCTCCAGGCCCCACAGGCTGACAGAAACTTGCATGGCCGACAAAGGAAAGCAACTCCGGCCTGTCCGATGGGCCTGAACCAGTGGAAGGCTCCACTGTCAAACGGGCTCCCAGGGAGCTGGCTAGTCACAAGTCTTGCCAAGTAGAAACTCCACCGGGCTCCCACGGGGGCAGAAGCAAACGCGAGTGACTGCTGGACACGTGGGCTGCTTTACAGCTCCCCGGACTGCCCACAGACAGCACGGTACCCCACGGCCTGCGGTGAACTAGCCGGCTACACTAGTCCCACCCAGTCAATGCGGCCTTTACCAGCGGGCACAGGATCAACTGCAGCAGCCCGAGAGTGTCGAGTTGCCCTCAGAGAGGCAGCGGGGGGCCCTGTGAGGAAGGAAGTGGTGGTGCCCTCAGTGAGGGGGCACTGGGACCTGGAGTCCACCTCTCTCCCCCTCACCCACCTACATAAGCAACACGAGGGGAGAAAACTTACGATGTTGGTGGGCAAAGAAGCCTTCAAAGATCACGAAGTTGTTCACCTAGAAGACGAAGCACATGGAATATAGCTGTCCACTCATACTTGGGCACAGAACCTGGTGCTAGAAAATCCACAGTGGGGGGAGCAGCAGGTGGCATGGTGGTTAAGGCGCTGGACTCCCAAGTGGTTGATCATGGTTCGAGTCCCAGACCCGGTGGCTCGGTTTCTCACTTTCCCTCTCTCTCTGTTTCTCTCTGGTGAATACACGCACCCTACTGCAAATTTAAAAAAATAAAATGAAATCATTCTTTAAACAAACACACAAACATAGTGAGAGGAATAAATGTCAGACTTCTTGTCCTTGGTGGTAGACCCAGTCAAAAACCCAGACCCCTGGGGGCAGCAGGTGACATGGTGGTTAAGGCGCTGGATTCCCACATGGCCAGCTGCAGATCAAGTCCCAGACCCGGAGGCTTGAAAATCATACTAGGCCCATGTATACATGCCCAAAATTATTTTTTAAATTTAACTTTATTTATTTATTCATTTCTTTTAATTTGCCCAGAGAGGGACAGAAAGAGAAAGGGGGAGAAAGCTGCCAGGGCTGGGACTCGAACGGCAGTCAGCCATGTGGGACCCAGCACCCTTAATCACCACGCAGCCACCTGCCGGCCCCATACATGCCCAAAATTCTGAGAGGAGAAAAGGGAAGAGAAGGGACTGCAGCATGGCCGTCCCCCTGGGGGTGGTTTTCCACTTCCCCTCTCACTTTCTCTCTTCTGCAAGTGCACAGGCCCTATGGCAAAACTTAAAAAACAAAAACCAGACCCCAACAAGCTGCAAAGGACCTTGAATAGCCAAAACAATCTCAAAAAAGAAGGCCAAAGCTGAAGGACTTACGCTTCCTAATTTTGAAACGTATTACAAAGCTATAGTAATCAAAACAGTGGTGCCCGTGGCTCAGAGACGGACACACGGATCAGTGGGTGGACTGAGAGCCCAGAGGGAGACCCACGTGTCTACGCCAATCGGTTATTTTCTTTCTCTTTAACTGCCAAAGGGCACATGTAGTTGCTAGAGATAAAACAGACAGGGAGAAGAGGGAAAAAACCACCCACCGACGGGGCATAATCAGGCCACAATCCCTTCTCTTCCTTGTTGCCATCCCCGTTGGGTGTGCATGCACACACATGTGCCTGGTGTGTTTTTCAAGCCACCAGGGCCTGGATTTGAACCGCATCGTCGGCCACGTGACATCCAGTTTCCTTAACCACTACACCACAGAACGGGCTCCAGTTGAAATTTTTTCTAGTTTGTTTATTTCTTACATTAAAGGGACAGAGAAAGAGACAGGGAGAGAGATACCCCTATAAGGGTCTTCATGCCACCACCCACCCCCCGGCCAACCAGGGTAACTACACATGCCTGCTGTGTACGTGTCTCCCTTCAGGATGAGGACCTAGGACCTTCTCGTGTGGCTTCAGCACCATGGAAAATGACATTATTGCTGCGCCACCAGGCACGGCCTATGTCAACTGATTTTTGAGGAGGGTGCCGAGACTATGCGATAGGAAAGAACGGTCTCTTCAACACGTGGTGCTGGACACTGGCTATCCATAGGCAGGGCTACTAGTTTGGCTCTCTGCATCACAGACAAAAAAGCAACTCAAAATGTACCAGAGATCTAAATGTAAAAGCTTGAAACTATGAAACTCTCAGAAGGAAACAGGAAAATCTGCATGACTTGAATTAGGCAACAATTTGTTAAATATTACATGAAAAACACAAGCAACGAAAGGAAAAAATGGATAAACTGGACTTCATAAAAATGGAAAATTCTTAGCAATAGTAGGTGGAGTGGTGGTTGAGGCGCTGGACTGCCATGTGGCCAACCACGGTTTGAATCCCAGACCTGGTGGCTTGTTTCTCACTTTCCTCCTCTCTGTCTCTGGTCAGGTTAAAAACAATAGCTTTTCCATGCGGCCTCTGAGCGTGTGGGTTCGCCCTTCCGAGCTCCGAAAATGTGCAGATTAACCTGCGATACTTTGATTGCAGAAGGTTCAGCTGTGGACTTGGGCAGCCACAAACTCTGATGATAGGAAAAGCAGTGGCGGGCAGGCAGTCTGCGTGCAGAGTTTTCAGATGCCTTCACCTGAATGAGAAACCTGCCTGTCAGGACCTCGGATATCTGACAGCCCTAACACCAAGAGAAGTAAATGGAGAGCGAGCGAGCGAAAGTGGGACAGCAAGTCACCAGGTCCGGGACTCCACCTGCAGTTAGCCATGTGGGCGTGTCCAGCGCCCCAACCACCATGCTGCAGGGTCTGGGGGAAGGGAAAAGAAACATGGCGGTTCCTACCAGTGGGAACCTTTAGGCCTTCAGCCACCCACCACCAGTTGAACAGAAACATTGTCTCCCATTGGCCAGGACAGGATGCTATAACGCTGTGGCAACCACTCATTGGACAAGGGCCCCTATAAGAGGATGAGCAGCAATCCTTTGGGTATGACTCCCCTCCTCCCCCAGCCCCCTCACCTCTGTTCAGACCGCGGGACCTCACGCAAGAGCTTTTCACAGAATAAATCTTGTTGGTTTTGCTAAA